TCTTACTGCCCCCTCTGTGGCCTGGTCACCCCCAACTGCCCCCCCAGCTGGCCTGGTCTCCCCCAACTGTCCCCCCTGCCATGGTTGTTGCCCCTCATGGCCCCTCCGCTGGCCTGGTCACCTCATGCAGCCTGCTGTTCAGTCGTTTGGTCATCCCTCACTAACCCTGCTGACCTCCCCCAACTGTCCCCCCTGCCAGCCTGGTTGCCCCTCATGGCCCCTCCGCTGGCCTGGTCACCTCATGCAGCCTGCTGTTCAGTCGTTTGGTCATCCCTCACTAACCCCCCTGCTGACCTGGTTGTAGGCAGCCATCTTGTGAGGGTGTGAGGGTTAATTTGCATATCACCTCTTTATTATATAGGATACTAGAAGCCTGGTGCACGGATTCGTGCACCAGTAGGGGGCCCCTTGGCCTGGCCTGAGGGAATCGGCAGAAACTGACTCTCTGACATCCCTGAGGGTTCCTGGATTGTGGGAGGGCTCCCGGGTGTGTGGGGCCTGACTTGCTCAGTCCCGATTGGCCGGACCCCAGCAGCAAGCTAACCTACAGGTTGGAGCGTCTGCCCCCTGGTGGTCAGTGTGCCTCTTAGCGACTGGTCCAACGGTTGAACTAACGGTTGGATATTTAGAATATTAGGCTTTTATTATATAGGATATACATATATATTCTATATCTATATCTATATATACATATATATGATGTTAACCTTAGAAGATTCTAGAAAACATGATTCAAGCACACATTTCACTTGCCAATAGAGCGACTGTATATTAGCTATTCTCTTGAAAACTTCTCTGGACACTCCTGAGAGGATGCGAGTAAAAACAACAAATACCATTTAACCCTTTGAGTGCCAACCAATACCCTAGGAACTATGCTAAAATTGCCAAGACATTTTTGCTGATTTTACAGCAGTTTAGGAAAAAAATTATGAATCGCAAGTAAATGAAGTTACATATTCAAAAACTTAAGGAAACCTTTACTACATTGACATATTTAGCAATATCATCACTAATAAAAGCAGACTTAGAACTGGACACCATTTCGAAGCTTTGATAGCGGCCCCGGCACTCTAGGGGTTAAGTAAGATGGATACAGTTTTGACTTCATGGATCCGGGGAAGGATCTTGGGGACCCTCAGAAGTCACCAGCCGCACTTTGAGAACCGCTGTCCTAGATTCCGCTCCAGGTAGCAACTGAGGCAAGAGCAATAGATAATCTCTCTGGGGGGAGACATTCGCGTAGTGGCGGCCGTGATCAGTTCCTCCCTGGAAAAGCAGGCGCTGTGGCCGAGGGCAGGGACCGCATCCTGGCTGCCTGGGGCCGGGGGTCCCTCCAGCAGAGTGACCGTGACCCTGCGACCCGAGCAGGAGGTGGCGAGCGGGCCTGGCCTGGCGGTTTCCTAAATCCCAGGAGAAGAGAGGGACGGACTTGTAGGGCAGCCGGGCCGTCTGTCACTCAACACCGCCGGGGTCCCCGGCACCGCGCGGACAGTGCGCACATGGCGCCTCGGGGTGCGGTGGAGGGAGTGAGCGCTAGCGGGACCAGAAACAGGCACCTGCCCTTGAGGCGGCCTCGGGCGGCGCGAGGCTACCAGCCGGAGAGGGAGACGGAGGAGGAGGAGGTGTAGGAGGG